ACAAATAACGCAAATGTCTATTTAAAAAACAAAATAGCATCTTTTAAGAGCACAGAAAGCTTTTGTTGTTACACATGGTTGGTTCGTGTTTATGTGAAGTGTTCTATTGCTATTTATCAAAGAAGACCAAGAATAATTTTAGTGCAAAATTCTTTTCTGGTTTGATAAGTGGTATTTGGGTTTAAGTCAATGAGGATTGCTACAGGGATCAACTGTGGTTTATGCTTAGTGGTTTCTCTCAGTTATTGTATTCGCTGACGAGGTTTGCCTTTTGACATTTTATCATGCCGTTAGTTTGCCGAGGGGTTTTCTTTAAAATTCTTACATTTTCGTAGGTTTTGTGGAATAAAAAAAAAGTTTGTGGAAAAATTAGGGTGATTAAAAACTTTTCCCTACAAAAATGGGGTCAATTTAATTTTAGAGAGAGATAGTTGAGTGTAGACAACCCTGTGTAGCTGAACAAACTGAATGTGTTGGTCAGAACAAATCTGTATTCTGTGCTGCTTTGTATTCATGAAAGCCCTATACAAATCAAATTATAATTTGACTTGGCTTGACTGATGTCTCACAAATTGTTAAAAATTATTCTAGTCCAGTGTTTGACATATAAAAATAAAAGGAAATGGCCTTGTACACACACACTAAAAAACCTTATTCTATATCTCTAAACAGCAGGTATTACGAAGCAAACAAACTTTTTCACAACAATAATAGAAATGGGACAAACTAACTAATTAAAATTACAACTGCAGATTTTCGTTTTAAGGTTGTTGTTTGAATACTGTAAGATGTTTAATACCTTTACTACAACAGCTCCACATTCGCTCAGTTTGAATGTTTCAATATGAAAACCAAGATAATGAAATCTGTGAAAATAAATGATGTGCTAGTGCAAGAATAAAACAAGGCTTAAGATATGGCTTTAAACAGTGAAAAAATACCAAATCTTTTTGAAAACTTTGATTTTTATGTCAGCTAGGTTTCTATGTAGTCACCGCCATTATTATAGCACAAAATAGGGATAAAAGTCTTCCTAATGTGTATCTAAACCAACAGACCTAAATACATTAGCAGAAATAAGCTAGTAAAGTATCCCATGGCATTTTACTACATTGTCTATTTGTCAAGGGGTAAAATTCTACTATGATATGAGCATTTCCAACCAAATATTCACATTACACTTTTACTTTTTTTACATTGATTATATGATATCACTATATGTTACAAATAAAAAAAAAGGGAATTTGGTCCTTAAAGATAAAATGATGGCACTAATGGTGTCCTTCCACCTTGATTTATATGAAAAGAAACCATTACTAATTTTATTTAATATTTAATTTGATGTTGGAAAAATCACTGTTGGAAAATTTGTTAGAGTTATTCTTTATATGTCAGCTTTTGGTAAATTAACCTTTAAAAAAACAGTTACGTGCAAACAAGAGAAATAAAAGGCTTGGTCCATGCTGACAAATAACAAGTGAACCTTAACACCCATTGCATGAAGCAGAGCAGCTGAAATAATGACGAAAGAAAAATATGAGGAAAAACAGCACATCAGTTTATCTTGCATCAGTGCAATTGATTTGATGTTTGACGTTACTGAAGCAAATAATATTTGCCAAAGAATTAACTTTTACAAATCAAAAACTAATTAAACGAGTCAATGTGGAATGGAAAAATGAGTCTTTTCCGACCATCAACAGTGTTATCATAGCACATATTAATGATGCACATATTTCACGTGCGATCAAATTTGAGTCAAAACCAGTTTCAGGATGTTTTACGCATTGTGTTTCTTTTGACATTGGCATAATTCTTTGGTGTTAACATAAACTTAGCTTCTCCGACTTAACTTTTACGGAGTCCAAGATCAAATATTCATATTAAAAAAAATCTTTAATTTAATGAATTACGTTCAAATGACTGTAGAAGCTTTGGACTATTCAATTTGTTCGCTTTGTGTTGCTCAAGCAATAGCACATTTGGTACAATACGAATGGTTAAAATAAAGGTTAAAACATTAAAGGATAAAGTCAAAAAACAAGTGAAACTTACGATATGATGAAAAATTTCCCAAAGCCTTTTTGAAATAAATTTTTTTTTTGTTGTAGACATACTGTATTTTAATACAATTTGAATACATCTGTGTTCAAATGAGCAGTTGAATTGCAGCATTTTCATATTAAATTCTCAAAAACTTTCTAATTTCACTGATGACAGATCTACAAACGTAATTTTTCTTATTGTATGTGCATTTTATATTGTTGTTTACATTTCTAAGCAGTAAAATGCTTAGTTAAAGAAAATAAATTAATACATTGGGTGAAAAACTTGATTAGAACTAGATTAAAACCATTTAGACATTTTAGAGGAGTGTTTAAGTGCATGATAGTTCTTCAAATCAGATCAAAATTACAGATAAGAATGGTATTAGAGTGATCAGAAGTGGGTGCTTACCAAATGAGTAGTTTCTAAGCAGTTGAAATCTTTTCTTGTGTGTTGAATAAATGGGGGGGGTGGAAACAGACTAAATCAAATAACCACTAAATAAAAATAATAAGTATATTAACCTTTGGAATGAACAGATTTGCTCTTCTTGCTGGACTGAAATCCTGTTTTTTGTTTAATGGTGAGTTATGTAAAGTACAAAATATTCCATGAAACAGGTACATTTAAGAGATATTATTAAAGAGTTACATATATTGTCTATCTTTACCTATTACACTAATCTACTGTATGCACTAGTTGTATATCAAAAGGCATCTGCCGAAGGAGTACATGTAAATATGTCTAATTTACAGTTTCAAATTTGCTGTTTCTCATTAAGATAATGATACTTGTATATTGCAAACCACACACAACTTTGTGTTAACTTCCACAAACACAGTCCACTGGAATTAATGCAGAAATCAAATTGTGCAGCTACCATGAAGTACTAAAGATCAATGTACCAGAAACCAGAAACCTATCTCAGATCACCAGTAACAGCAGAAAAAAAAACATTTTTTTCAACCATCATTCCGAATGTAATTTAGAATGTCTTGTAAATTTAAGCTAATTTCCTCCATTTAGAATTCAAATTTCAAATGAGGTGGCAAACTTGTCATTTTAATTTAGGGAAGTTTAAATGGAATACAATTTAAAGAAATTTGTAGTGTGGTACGCAGTTTTAGTTTAAATTAGGAAAAAAAAAACATATGATACCACCTACAGAAATTTATATTTCATTTTATGTATTTCATGTCATGAACTACACACCTTTTCAAATATAAGGTATACAATCAGTCGATTCAAATTTTTATGTAAGCATCTCTTATAATGAAATAAGAAAACATTTTATAGATGTGGTGGAAGTTTAGAAATGTGTCTAATAAAAAAATGTATTCCTGAATTTAGTCCAACAAGGTTATTTTCCAAAAGAAAAAATGTATTAGTTTAGGAATTCTTCATTATGACTCCATTACAGGCTGGAACTGCAGTAGCAGAACAAAATCTGTTACATAAATTGACTGTTTAGTTGATTAATTGTTTGATTAATTATACAAAAACACTCTGTTACTGGTGAACTGAGGTGTCATGTAATTTCCGTTTCCAAATTCAATCCAAATCCTAACTAGGACCATTTCAGGTTTCAGTGGCCAAGAAAAAGTGATCCTCAACATGCAAATGACATGAGCACACTTGCGTTTTCAGGGAATCATGCATGTCATCTTTTAAAACTGTGTAGTCAGCATTATTATTAAAAGTATGCCTTGTGTGATTAGTAAGGAAACTGCAGCATCTGTATCTGAAATATCATATATATATACACACACACACACACACACACACACACACATATATATATATATATATATGATTCATCTAAAGATATTTTATGTTTGCTTGCTTCTCCTGTTAAAATCTGTATTGTACTTTGTCCTGTAAATATATGTATAATTTTCTATTGTTTCTGAAAAACAAATGAACAAACGAACAAACTCTGTAGTCATAAATAGAGTAAATGCTTTGTCTTTGGATTTGAGCCTATGATACAAGCAGAAGAATATCATATAATCAATAGTGAATACCATTCAGAGCTGTAACGCAGAAAGAGAAGTGTTAGAAAAGTGTGTAATCACAAGCATGCTTACATATCTAACCTCTGGCGGGAAAAAAAGGATTTGGTATTGAACATATGATATGCTTGTCTACTGACTAGAAAGATTAAAACGGTATTCGTTTCTCTGTTATATTCTTCAAAAAACTGTGTCTCTATACTCTAGTTTACAGAGTAGTCTGTAAAATCTCGCAAATCTTATCACAGAACAACAATGACCTCTTTTCACATAAACCATCGCAATATTGATTACGGCATACACAATATTATGCTGATTATGTATAACAACAACTGCTCAAAAGCATACGGCATTAACATCTTTGAAAGGAAAGACGTCATCTCAAGCAAATTCAGCATCTATAGGAAAGAACCGAGAAAAAGAGGAAGAAGAGGAAATAGGATAGGAAGAACAATTTTTTTTAGTTTGTTTGTTTAGTTTTGTTCACATACACAAATATCCAATAAAATGCATACTGAAAAGGCAGACATTTTCAATAGGGCATTTAAAATATGCGACTTATAAAATTCTAAAGGCAGGTTTGAAAAATATGAAATGAAATTAAAACATATGCAAACATTTTTTTTTTTTAATTAATTTTAACAGGGGCACTTTGGACACAATATAACATTGTATATTGTAGTATAAAATAAGCTTCATTTTGGTGATTTCAGGGGTTAAAACACAATAAAACACCCTTACTTATTAGTGGTCCTTAAATGGTACAAGTCAAAGTCTTTTTGTGACATTTCAGATCTATTTTGTAATTATTATTGCTGGTAGTCCTCATGCTTGACAGTTGAAAACAATGTGTGTTTCATTTTAGGCAGTGAATATTGTTTTGCTTTTACCGTTTTGCGAAGCATTATTATTACAGAATAAAAATAACCGTGAGCTTTATTAAGCTTGGATCTGTAAAAAGAGGCACTTCATCATTTTTTTTCTTCTACAAAGGAGAGGCATTGTAAAACTCCACATGTACAGTGTTAGGTGTTGTTTTGGTTACAGTACTATCTGCTGTAGATGCTGATGAAGACATGGATGCTCTAGCTTGCTTTCAATTAGTTTTGTGTAGAGAGAAGCTTAAGTCTTTGTGTGTTCGAAGAAGAAAACAACGTCAAGATTGCGATGTTAGATTGAGTCTGACTGCTTCAATATGAATCGGACTGAAGTATTTGACTGGGGTTTTTTTATAGGATGCATGATATAGTTTGTATCTTATGGAAAAGCTTAGTTTTTGAGCGTACAACACAATCAACTATTCAGCTGTTCTAAGTAATATTCACTCTAAACCTCTTCCGCTCCTACGTAAATATTGGTGATGGTCTTTTCTGTGCCCACAAGCCTATACTCTAGATATTCTTTATAAATTAAGAAATTAAGTACCTTTGTATAAAAGCAAGGAGAAAAGAAGGTGGTAGTCCTACAACGAAAACTTACTGTAATAGCAAAGAGAAGGCTGTATCTATACTGTACACTGAAGAAAATTAATATGCATTGTGAAATTACAATTTTAAGCAGAAAGCAAAAATAAAAGCTAACTCTACATTTATGAACTGTGAATATATACTGTAAGTAATGTAAAAAGTCTAATAGAAGTGATCGTCATAGTGCTTTTTTCAGAAACCACAAGATCGGTGTCCAGTCTAGATGCAATGGATAGTAGACTGACATTTAGGCATCTGAAATGTGTCTAAACATCTTTTTCAGATTTTTACACTTTCACAAACTACACAATTTTGGCTAAACAAAGTCTCTTATTTTTTGTTGCTGTTGCTTTTCCTTTTTACATATGAACAAACACAGAGTAACAGTAATATCGGATATTAAAGCCTCATAGCACTTCAACACAAACGAGATGAGACAGCTTTAATATATGAAGCCTGATACTAGGACCGGTGACGCTGTTGCCTCCATGCTTGGTTAAAACGCATGGCCGAATGAATCTATACCAAAATGACAAGAGAAATCGGCGATTTGCATGTAGCTGTATGTCCTTCATAACCTTCACTAGACAATTTACCAATACTGTATTGCAAGGTTGCTTTCTCTTAAATATATATCCCTTGTGTAAAATAAACGCTAGAAATTGCAACAGCACCTTCACGAGCAATAGTGCATTTGGTCGCTTGAGTCAAACATGATTAAGGCTATCTGTAAAGACACAGCTGATGGCCAGTGTAAGTCCCTCCCTCCCACCCCACTCTCTGGTAGCGCTCATTAAGTGCTTTAATGCGTCGAAATGTTAACGTTTATGCTGGCCTGACCCTTCTTTAGAGACACGTATGTTCTGGTATAACGTTTCTGCGATTTGCGGCAGTTGAAATCCATACGGACGGTTACTGAATGGGAAAAAATAACATTTAGAACCAACAAACGATTCACAACCAATGGATGAGACAGGACTCTTTCGACTATCAACTGTACCACCGCCACCGCCACAAACCACCAACAGATCATTTAGCTACTCAACACAACCGTCAAAATGGTACGCCAAGCTGAAGTAAAACAAGATCGGGATCTGAAACTCGACTGGAAATGACCAACAAACACGTATGCAAGTCTAAGGCAACACCTCAGACTGATACAACACGGCCTGTGGCCAAACTTTGCAGCATAATTGAGTTAAAAAGCGATGTTTGGTCTCGAAGCACTGGAGAACGATACAGAATATTCAACAGGCGTATTGAAGTCGTTGAATTGACTTTGACAGCACTGGGTTAGGCCAGATCATTTCATTCAGACTTAAAGCAAGGGCCTTAACAGCATCATGTTCCTTGTGTCATTTATTGTAGGGAAAATAGTAATGATTGTTCTTGAGAAAGTTACCAAATGCACTCCTAAGTATGTAAAATAACATGATGTCACTGTTGCCGTACCTGTACTGCATATTGCAAAGGAAGCCCTACAGTTCAGGCATCACAAATTGTACAGCACACACATAGAGACATACCAGAGGAATATACACACACATGCTCATACAAACACATACATAAATGTGCTTGATCCCTAGACAGCACTAAAAAGCTTTGCACAATGACCCTCTCGTAGAAACGTACTTGTTCTAAAAGACATTTATCATATATTTAGGCAC